CGATTGTGGTTGATCATATTTTTGTCAAATTGCTACATGTTTTTTCTTCTTCTCTTTATCCAGGGTTCAAAACATCACTAACTTTGAGACAAACAAAAACAATGTCTATCGGCTTCAGTCATCAGTTTCTGGGCGCTATGTCACTGTGATCTCACCAACAAAACCACATATGATTCTTTGTGAAGTAAAAATCACAGGCAAAAAGCTTGGTATGTGATCCATAATCATAAACTCCCATTATAGAAAGGTTCATTAGTTTGATTTCCATTTTCAGTGTAACTGTCAGTCTTTTACCAGCAGACATATTGTATTACATTAACATGCAAATTCTGCTTCTAAAAAGCACCAGATGCTGCGTCTTTGCCTGGTGTCCTACTCACAAATGTGGCAGACGAGTGTTAGAGAAAGATAATCTGTATGAAAAACATAATCTCATGCAACTAATGTCGAGCGTTTGCTGACAAAATGAGAATTGTCATGAGAAAAAGGTTAATTTAAAAGTACCATAGATTATCATATTCAAATAACATTAGTGTAGAGCTGTAAACAGTTATACGTGTTTATTTCCTTCTGCATTCAGCCTGGACGGAGGAAACTGCCCCTTCAGGTTCAGTGATGTATTTATATATTGTATTTCTCTTTAGCATAACTATTTAATGTTGTGAAATCCTTGCTTTTTTTTTACTGCACTGCAGTGATTACAGACGATTTTTGATTTAACAGGGTTTTTTGATTCCAGGATTTTACCGTGAAATAATAATTAAATGCTGTACAATCCAAGTTTTTTTTATAGGTTTTCTTTTGGATAGCACAGGGAAACATAATTATAACAACTTTCTGTAAAATAATGCTGGTAATTATTCCGGAAAGTTGATAATTTTTAACCGTGTGACCCTTTACAGTTTTGCACATCCCAAAACTGTATTTAAACTAAGTTTGTGTTCATTTTTCTGTTGAAGATTCGCCTTTTAAACTAATTAAGCAAAACAAGAACTGGGAAGAAGCCCTGTACTACTGCAGAGATAACCACAGAGATCTGGCCTCCATCCTGGATCAAGAGATGCAGGCCTTTGCTGAGCTGGAGGCTGAGAAGGCCAACAGTCCCTTCGTATGGCTCGGCCTTCATTACACCTGCACCCTGGACTTCTGGTTCTGGGTTGATGATAATGTTGTGCGTTTCAAACGCTGGGCTAACAACCCCCCAGAGGAGGACTGTGACATGAGTGGAGCCATGAAGACACAGGGAGACCATCTGTGGTTCAGCAAGTCTGATTATGAAAAGTTTAATTTTATCTGTTTGCTTTAGGAAGATTTTAGACTTCTACCTGATTGTAATGTTAATATTCCTTTATTATTGCCTCCTCTTTGATTTTATTATGATTTAGAAAATTTTCTCTAAAGTGTTGCAATGACCACTTAGAGAGTTTATTATTCTTGCTTCCACTTATGTACATTACTGTAGTAACTGAGTTATGGATTCTGAACAGCTGAATATTTGGAAATTAAAGTTTCTGTAACCTTTTACAATGTGTAACATTTTGTCATATCAGTTAAGTAAATGGTAAAAAGGTGAATCATTTAATAAGTTTATTTCATTACACAGTGCCCAGAATTTGTGTAATTGATTATTTCAAAAATAGTAAACTTCTTTATTATTCTTTAAAAAAATGTCCAGCATTGATCTGTACATTTCTATTATTTTCATGAAGAGCTACATTTTGAATGACAAGCTTAAAGGGAAACACCATTTTTTTTTTTTTTTTTTTTTTTTTTTTACATTGGGCCCTTGATTTTATGTTATGACATCATGTTCTACTCACCCATATGAGTTTTGTGTCATTTGGAGCTGTTCTGAAGATATTCTGTGAGGTTATATCCAAGTAACATCTTCCTATGGGCAAACAACTTTGTTCTCACCTCAGAGAGAGTCAGCATTGTCGCTTTTGTAGGATTTAGTTGATGCAGTGCCTCTGTTATAATCTGTAGCACTGGAAAAAGTCAAAATCAAATGCACTTATTTTCTTAAAATAAGTGCATTTGTTCTTGGGTTGAGGAGGTAAAAGAGACATCTTGCCAATGGAACAAGACAATTTATATTTAAAATAAGAAAACACAATTGCATTGTCTTATTTCAAGTGCATGTTATATAATTATCTTTATTTCAAGAGTAAAAATACTCATTCCATTGTCAAACTGTCTCATTTACCTACTCAAATCAAGGGTAAATATACTTAATTTAAGGAATGTTTTCCTTATTTGTAGATCGTTTTTCCAGTGGGAGCCTTCTCACTGCGCTGCAACACAAAGAAGGACTGCTGCTGGCGAATTATTATCAACAGGAGCCTGGAGCAGAAACATTTTATAGGACATAAAAAAAAAGAGTGAAGATGTAACTTTTACAATGTTTAAAATTTTACTGTGTGATGTCACCCACGATAATGCATTGGTTTATTTGAAAGTTTTACTGTTCTAATGAAACAGATGCAAGCTCTGAGTCAGACTCTGTGCTCAAAGAGCTCTTCTGCCCCCTTCCTGTCCTCCTCAGAATCACCATTCACAGCCTCTGACACAGGACAAGATGTTTAATTTTTATTTTGAACTAAATTGACACAAGGGGAAAAATGTCTTCCCTACAAAAAATATACATTGGTTTGGGTTTCTATGCAGCAGCTGTTAAACACATCTGTCCCAGGCTAAGCCAGTGTCATGATCTTGGCACCTATGATTGGCTTAATGATTCATTCCATTAGGCCAATCATTAGTGCTAAGATCATGACCGCCATGGCACTGGCCTAGCCAGCGATGTTTAGCTTAATGATTCATTCCATCCACCTGTTTAGCGCTGCCCAGTTTCTCATCACTGTTCATTTTATACAACTGTTTTTGCTGTTGTGCAAAATGATATCCTGCAGATAATGAATAAATGATTAACTAGAACTGGACTTGTAATTAATTATTTGACTTATTCAAAATCAGAGGGGAAATCAATTTAGTGTTAGTTGAATAATTGTAGCTCTAATTTGCTTACTTACCAGGGTTTATGCCTTTCACTTCTGGATGGTTCCTGGACCGGCTGTTAAAATCCAGGTATCCACACCAATTTAGTGACCCAGGCTAGGTTATCATCAGAGTTATGAATTATCAATCAAAGACATTTTTATCTCTGTTTATTCAAACTATTACCAAACGAGGGTGGATCTGGCCTGAGTGATAAACAATTTGTATTTGAATCACACATAACTGCAAGTTAAACACCAATATCTTTATTTTAATAATACAGGATTACAGAAATCTAACATCTATGCAAAACACTACATGCTATTAAAAAATAAACAAGTGACTAGTTTTGAAAGAAAAAGAATAAAACCCTAAGAGTCTGTTTAACTGGCTTCTGAGATTGTCCAAGATATGCCAGATGTTAACACATTCAATAATGTCCGTTTGGCTGAGTTGCAGATCCAACATATATTAAAAATGCTTTTGTGAATAACATCTGTCTCTCTGCTTTGATTTCTGCGTCCATAGTCCTGCGTCCTGACAAGAGACATGTGAGGCCCCACAGATCCAGTGGTTATTGTAGACTGACCTTTATGACAAGTTCAGATTCAAAGTTAGCATTATATCTGGTGATAAAAATATGGATTCGGATCACAGATTTTTTAAAATACTTTAAGCAGCAAGAGGTGATAAGTGTTTGAGGCTGCTTTGCTCTGCAGGAGCAAAAAAAAAACAGTGAAGTTCTCAATCAATAGAAAATGAAAAGTAATGTTAATTTCTTATTACAAATGTAATCCCCGTAAAACATGGTTGAATAAAGAAAATTATTATTCACCTGAGGAAAGAACCGTTGATCAGTAAAACAGGTAAACAGCATCACTCAGTCAGATAATCCATTTGATTGTAAAAGGTTATGAAGATTTTAGAGGATAGAGAGATGAGAGTTACAGAACCTTATATTCCAGTTGGATGTCAGAAATCCAAAGTTACCATTTCGCCTCAATCACATTTGGGACAAAGGTTGTTTTTCAATATTTATATGAACTGGGAATCCAAAGGGCTTTCCCAAAGACACAATGTATATTCACTGTGGAGTGGATAAGACTCATCATTTATTGGGTCTTCCCTCAAAATATGTTCCTCATACATCTTCATGTTCCGCGAATCATATTTGAATAAAAATTGATATTTAATCATTTCTTTCATGAAACCCTTTGAGAAAAAATAGCTCAGACAGTCAAAGTAACTGCAACCATCAGCCAGTTTGTCATCAGGATTTTTTTGGTGTCCTCATAAATCACAACTTTAAGTGCAACAATATTACACCGATAGCAATAAATAAAACAACTATTGATGTCCGTGTTTGTCATAATTTCAAAAGAAATTAAACCTTTGGACATAGTATACAAAAGATTTTTACTCTCCTCAAAACTGTTAAATTTAGCTGCAGATAGAAGCATGAAAGCCCTTTTAAAATAAAACTAAGTTTCTTGCAGATATATGAGTTTTATTAAAATACTTCATTTTTGTCTTGGTGGGGGGTGTAGGTGAAATTGAGGTAGAGCGGTAGGTTTCGTCTGTCACACATGCATGTTAGTACACATGGTGAGATCTACCTATGTGCCAAATTTCAAGTCTCTGCGACTTACGATTTTCCCCATATCACTCTAGGGGGCGCTGTTGAAGGCGTTTGGCAATGTCCATTTCTACTTCCATTAAAATGCCTAAATTTTACATGGGAGACAATTTTTTTGCAAAGTTTGGTGAGTTTTTAGATGTTAAAGCCTCCAAATAAGCATTTCATTAGGGGAAAAAAACAATAATAAAAATTTGAAATACAATAGGCCTTCGTAGCGCTTTCGCTGCTTGAGCCTTATTACTCATAACATGAGTTTGTTACCCTGTTCAAACATACTTTTTGTCCTCCTGCTAATGCAGAGGAAACTGCTAAGAAGATTTGGAATCAAGTGTTGAGACACAAACACTGATTGCACATATAATTATGGTCTGACCACTGAGTGACTGTTAGCACAACCCCCTTGTTACAGTATTAGGACTGTGGCTCTACAAGGAAATGTACTGCCGGCCAAATTATCAATGCAATTCTTGAAGGCAGACACGAGCAGGTCCAATTACTGCGGTGCTATGTGTTCCTTCTAGAAAGATGCAACAAGCTGATAGTTCATCTTTAAAGGAGGAGTTTAAGTATCTTGAAGTCTTTTTCACGAATGAGGAGAAGATAGAGTGAGAGATCGATAGGCGGATTGGTGCGGCGTCTGCTGTGAAGCGGGCTGTCTGTTGTGGTAAAGACAAATCTCTCAATTTACCGGTTGATCTACTTCCTACCCTCATCTATGGTTTGCAGGTTTGTTCTCAGTGTAACCTTGTAACCTGATTCTCCCTTTGCTTACCTGTCCTTTGTCCTTCACTGTTCTAATCCTAGGACAAGCCTCAGAACCTGGAGCTCCTCATTTATTCCTCTTGTGCCATTCCCAAGTGAGGTTTTAGTGCAAAATCTATGGCTCTCCATACTGTAGCTGTCCAGCCAAGTACAGATCCAAGTTTCAGCAAAGAATGTCCACAGCCTGTTCCACCCTCCACCGCAAACCTTCACCCCTTACTAGCATCGGATTCCTCCTGCAAAACCTCAGGAGTAAACTTGTGCCCTATGGTTAAAAATGCAGTTCAAACCACAGATTGGTAGGAAGTTCATGGAACAAAATTATTGTCTTACAGGCTTAATGAGATAAGTAGGATTTACGCTGCCCTGGAAGGCTTTTAACACTGGGTTTGAATGGCGACAAAGCCATTGTCAAGCACATATCATGCTCATTTTGAGCCTGGATCGATATTTATTTTTTATTATGTTCATGAGCCAATCTCAAAATATGCAGGGCCATCATCAACACTCAAATGTGCAGGGCCATCTTTGAGCACACCATTTCACTTTTCTTTCACCAGTTCACCGCAGTTCTTCCAGCAGTCCACATTTTCTCCGCTCTCTTTTTCTCATCGTCTTCCCCTTCTTTCCCATCGCCCAGCTTGCCACAGGTTTGCCTTCTGTGTCTAAAAGTGGCTTGCAGCGGTGACCCAGACTGCCGGATGCAATGAAGTTAGACAGTGTCGTCAGATAACATGCAGTAATCTATACATGTGGACCGTGGTCTGCTAATGTGTAACATCTACTGTAGCTCCTCAAAATACCTCCCATACATCCAATTTTTCATTCATCCCCAACCTCCAATGTTACCTGTTTTATTCATCAGAATACTGCTACAAAAACATTCAGTAGGGACAATTAAATAAAATGTATTGCAAGACT